ATCCTAAATCTATTGATGGAGGCGGTATGGTCGGGCGGAAGCATGTACGATTTAATCAATCAACCATGTCTACTTCCCTTAAACCCTGGGCTCAGGGCACAAGAGTTTTCTCACATAATTTTCTGCGATCTAGCATGGTCTTCAGCTGCTTTTATTTATTCTGCAGCAGGTAGAACGTAGCCTAAAAAAGTCTTTGAATTCAGACCCATGGGCAAATGGTGCTCGGTAGCTGGGAACAAACTCTCAATTAGAAGAAAAAATTGCAAAATTGAGGCAACTGCTGCCCAGCAGATTGTTCTTGAGTAGACACAGGCTATGAAAGTAACCTGAAGTCTGTGTTACGTAGTACTTAATTGTGGGGAGCGGCTGAAATTTCGCAAAATTATCAAGAAAGATGAAAATATCTATATATATAATTCTCTTCTTGGATACCCTAGAAAACACCGAGCTGTAAGCGCGCCTAGCAGCCCCCTCTCTTCCTCTCTAAGCATATCCCTACCACCCCCACCCCCAAATGGTCTGGTAAGCTGTGGTTCAGGCTAAATGTTGGCAATCGTAGAGCCGGGTTTAGTGACGGCTATTAGGGCAGATAATTTAGTTTGAAACTATTTTAAACTTAGGGGGATAACTAAGAGGAGGCTGCTTTCACAGGGGTGGGGGTAGGGTAGGGGTTGAGGGAAAGGAGGGTGGGGGTTATCGTCCTTAACTTCATACTGATAGTGTCTTAAAGCAAATATTTTCAGTGGCAGCATTAGTACTGTCAAATTCACAAATTATAAATTACTGAAAAGCAGAAAATAAAACAACTCAATAGATAGCGGCGTATGATACGCCGCGGGTCGGCTCGTAACAAATATTTTACAAACTTATAATCATCATCGCCATTTCTATAGAACTTTTAGGGATTACAGGAACCATCGTATTTAATTTTCAACAATGACGCTGCTGACCGTTAAGCGTCACTGAGTCCATCAGTTGTAAAGGGGACGTGACCAATGTCGGGTAAAACTAAAGGCGGCTGGGCTTAGTGCTGACCCTCCCCCCCCCCCCCCCCCACATCAATCCCATTATGAACAGATGTTCTTAAAATACACGACCTTGACTTCTCTTGCACGATGTATATTCAGAAGTATCGGGAAAAGACGATGCTAAAGATAACACGAAAAGACCTAGACAGACCGAGTTCGATGACAAATTATAATAAACCGGGAGTGATCTCCCCTAAACTTTCTTGGATATTCTTATATAAAACAACAGGGGATAGGAACTCCATTTTAAATACTTAGTTTTTAAAATAGAATAAAATCTCGTAGAAAAAATAATTGCACACCAGGTGAACGCCAAATGAAATGTGCATAATAGTGCGCAATATTATTATTTATAAATTTACATGCGTTTTTTGAGAAATCAAAAATAGCGTAAATTAGTACTTCCGGTCAAAGGAAATTATTTGACAGAAGGTAGAGAATTAGATCTTTTACTTACATATGAAATTTCATTTATCCATCTGAAATAGTACTCAAGTTATAGGCTTTTGAAAAATTCAAAGTAGAAAACTACCACTTCCGGTTATTGGAAATTGCTCAAAAGTTGATACGGATCTACGATTTTGATAAAATACTTATATATGAATTTTCATCAATTTAGCTGTAACTGTACTCAAGTTATCGTGTTTACACACACACACACACACACACACACACACAGACACACAGACAGACACACAGACATACGGACAAGATTGCAAAATTATGTTTTTCCGTATCAGTTAGGTGTAACACGTCGAGATTTGTAAAAATCTCGATTTTTTTTTTTTGCGCGATTGCAATACTTTCTCTATACTTCGTATATACGAGAAAGTAAAAAGAAATAATAGATCACAGTTTATGACTCTCACCTGTGATTGTATTACTCATTATGGTTTTCAGGTGAAAGAATACTTGGAGGCGACCCCCAAGCTGACACAAGCAGCCAGCAGTACAAAAATTATGTGAAAGGGGTTGAGATAGGATCCAGTGGGACTTTGATATTTTACATCTCTTTCACTCTCTTCAACAGCTGCCAGGAGCTTTTGCTGCGCTATACTAGTACAGTTTTTATTTTTTAATCTAGATGTTCAGATAATGTATTTTGAGATTCAGATACATTTATAGATTGTTTAAAGCACTGAATAAAGTGTTTTAAAATGTATAAATATTGTTTAAATTATGTTAAATATTTAACTATCGAGTATGATATAGTTAACTAGAATGATTAATTTTATAATTTTCCAACGTGTATTGTAAACTATTTATTTTAGCAGTGTTTGTTTACTTTAAAAACCATTTACAGGTTGGAAAATGGAAATATTAATAGCTTGCTTGGGTAATATCGCTGTCAACATCGTGTGCGCCTTAACAGCAGAGTTGTGGTGTGTTTACATGATGGCTGTGTGGAGTGGGTTCTTCAAGACTGTCGTCTATACCGTGCCTTACATTCTTGCCTGTCAGATAGCCGTGGAGCAGGTACGTTGATCCTTACAGCAGAGCAGGTAAATAAGTCCAAATAGTAGGGCAGGTAAGTTAGCCGAAACAGTAGAGCAGGTAAGTTAGCCCAAACAGTAGGACAGGTAAGTTAGCCCAAACAGTAGGACAGGTAAGTTAGCCGAAACAGTAGGACAGGTAAGTTAGCCCAAACAGTATATATTAGGTAAGTTAGCCCAAACAGTAGGGCAGGTAAGTTAGCCCAAACAGTAGTGCAGGTAAGTTAGCCCAAACAGTATATTAGGTACGTTATCCTAAACAGTAGTGCAGGTAAGTTAGCCCAAACCGTAGGACAGGTAAGTTAGCCCAATCAGAATAGGTAAGCTAGCCCGAACAACAGAATGTATAAATGACGATACAAATGACGCTTGAAAAATCTTTTAGCTTTTAAATAGCTGAGGAGAATGTTATCCCAAATTGAGCCCTAGCCTACGATAGACAATGCAGACTTCCTATGAACACTTGTTGTGTATGTAACATTCTGAAAGTAGAGTTTCTTTTCGAAATGATCTATGGGGCAATTGAAGTAGAGTTCGCCTGCTTCCTTTTTTCTTCCACTATTCTACCGCCACTCGACAACCTTACAAGTTGATACCTCCAGTATGAACAGTACTGTCTTCATTGTCTGTGAAAATCGAGTATGGACATTCCCCCAACACAATGCAGCTACAAAAAAGACAACTGTATAAACTATGCATAAAAATTAATTTCTAAATCATGTTAAATTAGCTGTACGGTTTTTTTTTTTTTTTTTTTTTTGTTTTTTTGTTGTTTTTTTTTAAATTTTTTCTTTAAGTTGAGAATTTGTTTTTTGGCAGAATCCTAACTAGCTAACACAAGCTAAAATGTCTAGAAATTACAGATGTTATGTTGTGTTGACCTTCACAGAATCCCGACAAGAGTTCAGTGGGAGCCATATCAGGGGTCTCCTCCATGTTGCCCAGTGGGTTCATCCTTTGCATGGTGGTGGTGGGACCCCTGGTTGACGTCACAGGAAACGTGGATACGTCTTTCTACTTCTCGACAGTCACGTGTCTACTGGGTATGGTGGTGATAAGTCTTCTTCAGCTGGTCAAGTGATAGTGGAGAGGGGATGGGGGGTGGTAAAACGATCGTAGGGGAGATGGTCAAATAATGATGTGGGGCTGGTCAAGTGATGGTAAGAAAGAGGCTGCTAAAGTGAGGGTTCAGGGCTTGTGTGGTTGACGGTCAAGTAATATTTGGGGGGTGGGGGGTGGTCAAATTATGGTGGGGTCGTGGGAAGTGATGTTGGAGGATGTTCATGTGATTGTGGGTGGGGGAAGGCTTGTGAAATCAAATTCTAATTAATGTAATTAGTTATTGTTGAGTTTGATTTCACACACACCTTGATCAATATGTGGCAAATAAAACCATTAAATATACATGTGGGAAATTGAATCTTATAATTGTACACACAAAAATAGTATAACTTATTTTTTTAAATTAAAATGTATAACAGTTTAGATGAGCAATAATATTGTTACCGTCTTTAGAAGCATGAGTATAAATGGTTGCCTTTTTCTATAAAATTACAAAGTTACATAAGACTTGAAAAGCTGATTCCAAATGGTTCCAAATTTGTTTTGCCAGAAAACCATAATATATAGCCTAAGAGATCATTTCAAGTAATATAATACTAATTTAGCAAACAATTTTATTTTTAATTTGGATTAGTATAGTCAGGGTGTTGTGGTGATTGGGGATGTTATATTATTTAATATAAATACAATACTACAATTTTTCTCATGGAAAACAATTGTTTTATTGTTTTACTCTCCCTGGCCATTTCGATTGACTTCATGGAGGGTTGAGGGCAGTTTTATTTAATATATTTGAATTGATAAAATAATTCTAAATGGCTTTTCAACCAACGGCTTATGTTCGATACAAAAATATAAAAATAAGTGTAATCGATGGTTCCTAAACGGCTATATTTTTTTACAAATGTTTGTATAAATTTATCGCTTGCCATATTTTTAAAAATATTTTTTTAAAATTAGTATGATTACTTTGACTTTTCACGCGTATTGCATTATTGTAACTTCAATTAGTTTCTTATATTTTATTGTAACAACAATAAAGAAAGTGTTTATACTACCTACTGATTTTTGCTGGTGTTAATGTGACTGTCTTTTATTTGTAACACGTGGGAATGCACAGGGTGGTGATATTTCCTTAAGTTTACCTCATTTTTTTTCAGTTTGTGAATGTGTTTTTCTTTTTCGATTTGATTGTTGTAAATTAAGGCTTATGTTTTTCAGTGTGGAAAAGATAAATGTTAAGTAAATATAAAGTTTGTTAAAGCTTTATTTTTTCAGTGTTAGCCAATTCATAAAGTTAAATTACTTTTGACATATTGAAATGATTAATGTTAGCCGATTCATAAAGTCAACCTACGAACCCGGGTAATAGAAATCTCTTCAAGTAGAACGAATGACATTTGATCCCTCCAAATAACACTCAAACATTTTTACTTTTATCTACGTTTATTTAAACCTAAATTATTTCATCTACAATAAAAGAAAGAAACCACCTATAAACAGAGCAGCCCCAATAAGAAAGTCTAAAAAAGATGGGCCAGAAGCTGTGACTGCCGTTTCTCTGGACAATTCTCTGTTTCTGTTTTCTTCTCTTCTTCTAGCTTCTTCTTCTTCTTGTCTACGTTTAGCATCTATTTCACGTTGAACAGATTCAGCCAGAGGTTGTAATGGATCAGCTATAGGTCTCAGAGTTGGATACAGCCTGATTTTTGTGTTGGCATAATTAAGCAGAGCATGCACTTTATGCTGAACAACTTCTAACATTTCTATTGTTTTATCACCTTTGTAAAGCTGTTTAATGTCATTAAGGTCTGCTGTAATTTTTCTTCTGATTTTAGCTTTTTCGAAGTCATTTTGGTTATAATGTCCTTTTATTTGTTTCACCATTTCAATCAGCTGTTCTATTTGCTCATTCTGATCTATATCCGCCAGTTTATTGTTGATTAAAAGAACTCTCCCACCACTTTCATCAATCAGATCTTTGAATCCACCTTTTTGTTTGTTCCACCAGTCTTGAAAATCTTTTGTTTCAGTTTCTTCAGGACTGTATTGGTCTCCCCTTGTTAAAACAATAATAGACAATTTTTTAATAACATCCTCTCCAAAAGTTTCCTTAAAGTTTTCTTTCACTGTTGTGTCCCAATCAGTAAATCTTGCACCATAGGGAACAACGTACAAAAAAGCATCGAATCCTGTCGGGCTTGCATGGATGGATTGAAGGTGAATGTCAGCCAAAATTTGATTTTCCATTTGAGTATCCATGAATCCTGGAGTATCCACAACTGTTATTTTCGTTCCTTGGTACGCGGAAAAACTACTTTCAATAGTTTTTGTGACAGATGTGAAACTTGCTCCAGTTTTGAATACTTTTTTCCTAAGAATTGTATTCCCTGTAGTGCTCTTACCACTACCTGTTTTACCAACCAGCAGAAAACTGATAGGTTGTTTTGGTGGTTGTGAGTAAACCAGTAGAGTTGTAATCGCTAGAACAATCACTAGGAATAAATCTGTGAATATATTATTTTAAAAAAATCTGTCAAAGATATTATTTCAGTTGATTTTTGACGTAAGTTTTCTTTATTCTGTTAATTAATAAGATTTAAATGACAGATACCTTTTAAGCTGTTTTCTTAAAATCATTATTTTATTTTCCCACTTTTTCTACAAGTCCTTACCTAAAAGTCTTAAACAGCACATCATTAAATTATGACAAACATTTACATTAGTGTCACCTCTTGACTTTTGTCCTGTAAATTACAGAGAAGCCAATTTTATAAGGGAATTAAAATAAATTAATTGCAATTAATCATCAGTTATTTAAACTTTTCAGTTTGTGATATCTACACACTAGCTAATATTTATTGTCACTTACACAGTAAATTTACAGTCATGTATACAATAATAATTTAAAAGTTAAATGCAAATATCTGATTACATGCTAATACACGCAGTGATCATTACACACTAGCAATTATTTACACTCTGGCTAATATTTACATGTGCACACAGACATTTTATAGTATTGACACAGTGAGATTTCAACAAGAGTTAATGTTTACAGTGTTAATTACACTCTAACATTTATTTACACATTGGTTAACATTACAGTTATAGTTTAGTTATACACTACCATTTGTTTTCACATTGGCTAATATTACAGTGATAGTTACACTCTAGCATTTATTTAAACACTGGCTAACATTAAGCCTACACAGTAATAGCCGGCGGCACATAAGAAAATATTTAAACATTACTAATTACAACTGGTTAACATATAACCTTATAATTATCATGCAATTAATTTTAAAGGTTTGAAAAGAAACCGTACTTACACAGAATAAAACTGCAGTACACGCGACTTACTCACCGACAAGGTTATCGAACAATAGTTCGGAAGAAATCAATGGAGAAAGAATGTTGGCTTTTCAAAAAATTACAAACTGAAACGAGTTATCGGGAATTCCCAAGAAAAAATACACAAGAAAAAATTGATCATGCACTGTTCTGTTTACATTTCACCATACGTGGCGAAGCCATTAATGTAGGCCTAGTTACTGCATGTAAGCCGTGAGAAGGCTTAGTTACTGTATGTTAGTAAATATAGTAGGCCTAGTTACTGTATGTAAGCTATTGTAGTAGGCCTAGTTACTATATTATGTAAGCTAGTGTGGAAGGCCTAGTTACTCTATGTAAACCAGTTTAGAGGTTACTGTATGTAGCTTTTACTGTATGTTTGTTTAAAGCGTCTGTGCTAAATGTATGTGATCCTCTGTGTTTTATTTAGTGTATGGAATTCCTTTCTTATAATTAACGATTATGGGTAGATGAGCAGATGTCATTCATTCACAACACACTTCAATGTTACTATAAATTGCTGTTATTGTTTTATTTCACCATCACATAGTACATAAAAATGGTACACATGGGCAGATAAACTAAAGCTAACTGATTAAATACAAAAAGATGATGAATGCTATAGCGCAGAAATGAACAAATATTTATAAAAACATAAGTACGAATGCAGACTGCTAAAGGAAATCTACATTGTTGGGTTATTATTGTAATGGAGGTGCGACCTAAGACTGAGATGACAACCTTCACAAATGTTCCGCACTTCATCGATGTTGTTCATTGCAGGCATTTATTCTGATTAGAATTGCAATCTTACAGTACCTTCTTGTTTAGGTGGAATCTTCCTGTACTAGCTTGGGTAGATGGAATCTTCCTGTACCATCTTTCACTGGTGGAATCTTCCTGTAACAGGTGGGGCTGGTATACCTCATATACCACTCTTATTATACGTTGGTCAGGATGTAAGCAGAAGGCTGTAGTAAGCGCATCAGGATATTTTTTTTAAAAAGCTACCATCACAGCCTGTCTAAAATCTTTGAGAATATAATAATGGTCAAACCAACTGCGGTCTAGGTCCCACCGAAGACAAACTACCTATTGATCAACGGTCTATGGTCAAACCACCTATGGTCGAAAAACCGCGAATAACGTAGAAGTGATCATATCAATTACATACAAGTGTTAAAAGCAATGCCATTCTTATCAGACTAAACCTTATAATTTCCTACTACATTTATTTGGACAAAAGTAATGTACTACTATTGTTTAGAAATAAAAGGAAAAAAAACAACTGTAGTCATAACAGCCCCAATAAGCAAGTAAAAAAATGATGGGCTAGAATCTGTTAGTGTCGTTTCTCTGGAAAATTGCCTGTTTCTTTTCTCTGCACTTCTTCTAGCGTTTTCTTCTTGTCTACGTTCAGCATCTAACTCACGTTGAGCAGACTCAGCCAGAGGTTGTAATGGATGAACTATTCAGCATTTTAGACTTGGATACATGTATACAGCCTGACACAACATAATTAGGCAGAGCATGCACTTTATGCTCAACAACTTCTTACATTTTATTGTGTTATCGCTTTTGTAAAGCTCTTTAACGTGATCAACGTCTGCTATAATTGTCTTCTGATTTCAAGTCTATCTTTAGCTTTTTCAAAGTCATTTTGGCTCAAATGTCCCGTAATTTGTTTTACCATTTCAATTAGTTTCTCTATTTGCTCATTCTGATCTATATCCATCAGTTTATTGTTGATTAAAAGAACTCTCCCACCACTTTCATCAATCAGATCTTTGAATCCACCTTTTTGTTTGTCACACCAGTCTTGAAATTTTTTTGTTTCAGTTTCTTCTGGACTGTATTCGTCTCCCCTTGTTACAACAATAATAGACATTTTTTTAATAACATCCTCTCCAAAAGTTTCCTTAAAGTTTTCTATAACTTTTGTGTCCTCCTTAGTAAATCTGACACCGTATGAAACAACGAATAGAAACGCATCGAATCCTGTGGTGCTTTCATTGATGGCTTGAAGAAGAATATCAGCCAAAGTTTGATTATCCATTTCAGTATCCATGAATCCTGGAGTATCCACAACTGTTATTTTCGTGCCTTGGTACGCTGAGAAACTACTTTCACTAGTTTTTGTCACAGATGTGAAACTTGCTCCAGTTTTGAAAACTTTTTTTCTTAGAATAGTATTTCCTGTTGTACTCTTACCACTGCCTGTTTTACCAACCAGCAGAAGACTGATAGGTTGCTTTGGTGGTTGGGTATAAACCAGTAGAATTGTAATTGCTAGAACAATCACTAGGAAATAATCTGGGAATATATTATAAAAAAATTTGTCAAAGATATTATTTCAATTGATTTTTGACGTTAGTTTTCTTTATTCTGTGGATTGATAAGATTTAGATGAGAGATATCTTTTTAGCTCATTAGCTGTGCTCTTAAAATCATAATTTTATTTGCCCACATTTTCTACAAGTCCTTACCTAAAAATCTTAAACAGCACATCATCAAATTATGACAAACATTTACATTACTGTCACCTCTTGACTTTAGTCCTGAAAATTACAGAGATGCTAATTTTGTAAGTGAATTAAAATAAATTGATTGCAATAAACCATCAGTTATTTATATTTTTCAGTTTGTGATATCTACACACCAGCTAATATTTATAGTCCCTTACACAGACAATTTACAGTCATGTATACACTAGTTAATAAATAAAAAGTGCTGGGCAAACTGTAATATCAGATCACAAGATAATACACACAGTGATAATTACACACTAGCATTTATTTACACATTGGCTAATATTTACATGTGCAGACAAATATTTTATAGTATTTACACAGTGAGATTTGAACAAAATGTAATGTTTACAGTGACAGTTACACACTAGCATTTATTTACAAACTGGCTAATATTACAGTGATAGTTTGGTTAACCACTAGCATTTATTTACACATTGGCTAATATTACAGCCATAATTTAGTTAACCACTAGCGTTTATTTACACATTGGCTAATATTACAGTGATAGTTTAGTTACCCCCTAGCATTTATTTACACACTGGCTAATATTACAGTGATAGTTTAGTTACCCACTAGCATTTATTTAAATATTGGCTAATATTACTGTAATAGCTGCACTCTAGTATTTATTTACACACTGGCTAACATTAAGCCTACACAGCGATAGCCTGCGGCACACAGGAAAATACATAAACATTAATAATTACAGACTAGTCAACATATAACCACTTAATTATCAAATAATTAATTTTAAATGATTGAAAAGAAACAGAACTTACACAGTCAGTACCTTGGCGACACACCTGAATAATACTGAAGAACACGCGACCTACACACCGAAAAGGTTAATGAACAATATTTCGAAAGAAATAAATGGGAAAGAATGTTACCTTTTCAAAGAAATAAAGAGTTATCGGGAATTCCCAAGATGAAATAGCTGACGCGTTACATAAGAAAATATTGCATATGCTGTGTTCTGTATACATTTCCCCATACGTGAGGTAGGCAGTAATGTAGGTCTAGTAAATGTATGTAAGGCAGTGTATTAGACCTAGTTACTATATGTAAGTAACTGTAGTAGGCCTATGAAAGCTAGTGTAGTAGGTCTAGTTATTTTCAGTATGCCAGCGTAGTAGATCTAGTTACTGCATGTAAGCTATTTCTTGTAGGCCTAGTTAAAGTATGTAAGCACATGCAGTAGGCCTAGTTACAGAATGTATACTAGTATAGAAGTCCTAATTACTGTATGTAAGCCGGTTGTAGTAGTACTAACTACTTATGTAGGCCAGTGTAGTAGGCCTAATTACTCTATGTAAGCCGTGTAGTAGGCCTAGTTACTGTATGTAAGCTAGTGTAGTAGGCCTAGCTACTGTATGTAAGGCCATTGTTGGAGTCCCTTTTCCTTCCCCTTAATCAGCTACTGGGTAGGCCTATATATGTTTTTTTTCGATGACTAATAAAATATTTTCACTATTTCTTTATTGAAATATACAATAAGACTATAGTAAATCATTTAATGATATTATTTTTACAATTCGTTTAGATTACAATGCAATAGGCTGCATTTTATTGCATTGTTGTCAAGTAAGTACAATGGGCAGATCTGTACTAAAATTATAAATATTTTTTAGCTACAGCAGTTTTTACAATCTCATCCCATTGCATCTTTACAAGTCAAAATAACTATCAAGTCTAGAAGAAACTCTTGAAGCGATAATGTCTGATGATATTGATAATGAGGAGTAGGGCCTACGATGTTCTTTTTAGAGGTTACTGTATGTAGCTTTTACTGTATGTTTGTTTAAAGCGTCTGTGCTAAATGTATGTGATCCTCTGTGTTTTATTTAGTGCATGGAATTCCTTTCTTATGTTTAACGATTATGGGTAGATGAGCAAATGAGAGGTCAGCTATGACAAAATGTCAGTCACTCATAATAAACTTTAATATTACTATATATTGCTGTTATTTTTTTAATTTCACCAACAAATATTAGATAAAAATGGTATACATGGAAAGATAAACTAAAGCCAACCGATTAAATACAAAAAGATGATGAATACTACAGCGCAGAAATGTACAAATATTTATAAAACATAAGTCATAATGCAGACTGCTAAAGGAAATGTAGGCCTATATTGCTGAGTTATTATTTTAGTGTAGGTGATACCTTAGACTGAGATGACAACCTACACAAATGTTCTTCTTCCGTACTACACTATCGTCTGTTGTATGTATTTGATTCCATTTTTTAATTAAAAATAGTGTACAGATATAATTGTCTCCACGGCCCGAAATACAACGACATTGGATTAAGTGTGTCAGCACATCGTCGGTGTTGTTCATTGCTGGCATGGAGTCTTGTACAGGTTGAACCTTCCTGTAAAAGCCTAGACTGGTGGAATTTTCCTGTACCATTTTGGACTAGTATACCTTATGTACCTTTCTTATTATACTTTGGGCAAGATATAAATCACTGCCTTCTAAAATCTGTGAGAATAAATAATGGACAAACCACCTGCGGTCTAGGTCTTACCGCAGACAAACTACCTATTGTTCAACGGTCTATGGTCAAACCACTTGTGGTCAAAACACCGCTTACAATGCAGAAGTGATCATATCAATTACATACAAGTGTTAAAAGCAACACCATACTAATAAGACTAAACGTTATAATTTTTCATTACGTTTATTTTGACTATAATGTACTACTATTGTTTAGAAAAAAAGAAAGAAACCACCTATAAACAGAGCAGCCCCAATAAGAAATTCTAAAAATGATGGGCCAGAAGCTGTGACTGCCGTTTCTCTGGACAATTCTCTGTTTCTGTTTTCTGCACTTCTTCTAGCTTCTTCTTCTTGTCTACGTTTTCTTTCTAACTCACGTTGTACAGATTCAGCCAGAGGTTGTAATTGGTGAGCTATAGGTTTCAGAGTTGGGTACAGCCTGATTTTTGTGTTGGCATAATTAAGCAGAGCATGCACTTTATGCTGAACATCTTCTAACATTTCTATTGTTTTATCACCTTTGTAAAGCTGTTTAATGTCATTAAGGTCTGCTGTAACTTTTCTTCTGATTTTAATTCTTTCTTTAGCTTGATCAAAGTCTTTTTGGTTATAATGGCCTTTAATTTTTTTCACCATTTCAATTAGTTTCTCTATTTGATCATTCTGATCTATATCGGTCAGTTTATTGTTGATTAAAACAACTCTCCCACCACTTTCATCAATCAGATCTTTGAATCCACCTTTCTGTTTGTTATACCAGTCTTGAAAATCTTTTGTTTTAGTTTCTTCGGGGCTGTATTGGTCTCCCCTTGTTACACCAATAATAGACATTTTTTTAATAACATCCTCTCCAAAAGTTTCCTTAAAGTTTTCTTTCACTGTTGTGTCCCAATCAGTAAATCTTGCACCATAGGGAACAACGTACAAAAAAGCATCGAATCCTGTCGGGCTTGCATGGATGGATTGAAGGTGAATGTCAGCCAAAATTTGATTTTCCATTTGAGTATCCATGAATCCTGGAGTATCCACAACTGTTATTTTCGTTCCTTGGTACGCGGAAAAACTACTTTCAATAGTTTTTGTGACAGATGTGAAACTTGCTCCAGTTTTGAATACTTTTTTCCTAAGAATTGTATTCCCTGTAGTGCTCTTACCACTACCTGTTTTACCAACCAGCAGAAAACTGATAGGTTGTTTTGGTGGTTGTGAGTAAACCAGTAGAGTTGTAATCGCTAGAACAATCACTAGGAATAAATCTGTGAATATATTATTTTAAAAAAATCTGTCAAAGATATTATTTCAGTTGATTTTTGACGTAAGTTTTCTTTATTCTGTTAATTAATAAGATTTAAATGACAGATACCTTTTAAGCTGTTTTCTTAAAATCATTATTTTATTTTCCCACTTTTTCTACAAGTCCTTACCTAAAAGTCTTAAACAGCACATCATTAAATTATGACAAACATTTACATTAGTGTCACCTCTTGACTTTTGTCCTGTAAATTACAGAGAAGCCAATTTTATAAGTGAATTAAAATAAATTAATTGCAATTAATCATCAGTTATTTAAACTTTTCAGTTTGTGATATCTACACACTAGCTAATATTTATTGTCACTTACACAGTAAATTTACAGTCATGTATACAATAATAATTTAAAAGTTAAATGCAAATATCTGATTACATGCTAATACACGCAGTGATCATTACACACTAGCAATTATTTACACTCTGGCTAATATTTACATGTGCACACAGACATTTTATAGTATTGACACAGTGAGATTTCAACAAGAGTTAATGTTTACAGTGTTAATTACACTCTAACATTTATTTACACATTGGTTAACATTACAGTTATAGTTTAGTTATACACTACCATTTGTTTTCACATTGGCTAATATTACAGTGATAGTTACACTCTAGCATTTATTTAAACACTGGCTAACATTAAGCCTACACAGTAATAGCCGGCGGCACATAAGAAAATATTTAAACATTACTAATTAGAACTGGTTAACATATAACCTTATAATTATCATGCAATTAATTTTAAAGGTTTGAAAAGAAACCGTACTTACACAGAATAAAACTGCAGTACACGCGACTTACTCACCGACAAGGTTATCGAACAATAGTTCGGAAGAAATCAATGGAGAAAGAATGTTGGCTTTTCAAAAAATTACAAACTGAAACGAGTTATCGGGAATTCCCAAGAAAAAATACACAAGAAAAAATTGATCATGCACTGTTCTGTTTACATTTCACCATACGTGGCGAAGCCATTAATGTAGGCCTAGTTACTGCATGTAAGCCGTGAGAAGGCTTAGTTACTGTATGTTAGTAAATATAGTAGGCCTAGTTACTGTATGTAAGCTATTGTAGTAGGCCTAGTTACTATATTATGTAAGCTAGTGTGGAAGGCCTAGTTACTCTATGTAAACCAGTTTAGAGGTTACTGTATGTAGCTTTTACTGTATGTTTGTTTAAAGCGTCTGTGCTAAATGTATGTGATCCTCTGTGTTTTATTTAGTGTATGGAATTCCTTTCTTATAATTAACGATTATGGGTAGATGAGCAGATGTCATTCATTCACAACACACTTCAATGTTACTATAAATTGCTGTTATTGTTTTATTTCACCATCACATAGTACATAAAAATGGTACACATGGGCAGATAAACTAAAGCTAACTGATTAAATACAAAAAGATGATGAATGCTATAGCGCAGAAATGAACAAATATTTATAAAAACATAAGTACGAATGCAGACTGCTAAAGGAAATCTACATTGTTGGGTTATTATTGTAATGGAGGTGCGACCTAAGACTGAGATGACAACCTTCACAAATGTTCCGCACTTCATCGATGTTGTTCATTGCAGGCATTTATTCTGATTAGAATTGCAATCTTACAGTACCTTCTTGTTTAGGTGGAATCTTCCTGTACTAGCTTGGGTAGATGGAATCTTCCTGTACCATCTTTCACTGGTGGAATCTTCCTGTAACAGGTGGGGCTGGTATACCTCATATACCACTCTTATTATACGTTGGTCAGGATGTAAGCAGAAGGCTGTAGTAAGCGCATCAGGATATTTTTTTTAAAAAGCTACCATCACAGCCTGTCTAAAATCTTTGAGAATATAATAATGGTCAAACCAACTGCGGTCTAGGTCCCACCGAAGACAAACTACCTATTGATCAACGGTCTATGGTCAAACCACCTATGGTCGAAAAACCGCGAATAACGTAGAAGTGATCATATCAATTACATACAAGTGTTAAAAGCAATGCCATTCTTATCAGACTAAACCTTATAATTTCCTACTACATTTATTTGGACAAAAGTAATGTACTACTATTGTTTAGAAATAAAAGGAAAAAAAACAACTGTAGTCATAACAGCCCCAATAAGCAAGTCAAAAAATGATGGGCTAGAATCTGTTAGTGTCGTTTCTCTGGAAAATTGCCTGTTTCTTTTCTCTGCACTTCTTCTAGCGTTTTCTTCTTGTCTACGTTCAGCATCTAACTCACGTTGAGCAGACTCAGCCAGAGGTTGTAATGGATGAACTATTCAGCATTTTAGACTTGGATACATGAATACAGCCTGACACAACATAATTAGGCAGAGCATGCACTTTATGCTCAACAACTTCTTACATTTTATTGTGTTATCGCTTTTGTAAAGCTCTTTAACGTGATCAACGTCTGCTATAATTGTCTTCTGATTTCAAGTCTATCTTTAGCTTTTTCAAAGTCATTTTGGCTCAAATGTCCCGTAATTTGTTTTACCATTTCAATTAGTTTCTCTATTTGCTCATTCTGATCTATATCCATCAGTTTATTGTTGATTAAAAGAACTCTCCCACCACTTTCATCAATCAGATCTTTGAATCCACCTTTTTGTTTGTCACACCAGTCTTGAAATTTTTTTGTTTCAGTTTCTTCTGGACTGTATTCGTCTCCCCTTGTTACAACAATAATAGACATTTTTTTAATAACATCCTCTCCAAAAGTTTCCTTAAAGTTTTCTATAACTTTTGTGTCCTCCTTAGTAAATCTGACACCGTATGAAACAACGAATAGAAACGCATCGAATCCTGTGGTGCTTTCATTGATGGCTTGAAGAAGAATATCAGCCAAAGTTTCATTATCCATTTCAGTATCCATGAATCCTGGAGTATCCACAACTGTTATTTTCGTTCCTTGGTACGCTGAAAAACTACTTTCGATGGTTTTGGTAACAGATGTGAAACTTGCTCCAGTTTGGAAAACTTTTCTCCTAAGAATCGTATTTCCTGTTGTACTCTTGCCACTACCTGTTTTACCAACCAGCATTAGACTGATAGGTTGCTTTGGTGGTTGTAAGCAAACCAGTAGAATTGTAATCGCTAGAGCAATCACTAGGAAATAATCTGGGAATATATTATAAAAAAAAATTGTCAATGATGTTACTTCAATTGATTTTTGACGTAAGTTTTCTTTATTCTGTGGATTGATAAGATTTAGATGAGAGATATCTTTTTAGCTCATTAGCTGTGCTCTTAAAATCATAATTTTATTTGCCCACATTTTCTACAAGTCCTTACCTAAAAATCTTAAACAGCACATCATCAAATTATGACAAACATTTACATTAGTGTCACCTCTTGACTTTAGTCCTGTAAATTACAGAGATGCTAATTTTGTAAGTGAATTAAAATAAATTGATTGAAATAAATCATCAGTTATTTATATTTTTCAGTCTGTGATATCTACACACCAGCTATTATTTATAGTCCCTTACACAGACAATTAACAGTCACGTATACACTAGTTCATTATAAAAAGTGCTGTGCAAACTGTAATATCAGATCACAAGCTAATACACACAGTGATAATTACACACTAGCATTTATTTACACATTGGCTAATATTTACATGTGCAGACAAATATTTTATAGTATTTACACAGTGAGATTTGAACAGAATGTAATGTTTACAGTGATAGTTACACACTGGCATTTATTTACACAGTGGTTAATATTTACATGTGCAGACAAATATTGTATAGTATTTACACAGTGAGATTTGAAAAAAATTGTAATGTTTACAGTGATATTTACACACTAGCATTTATTTACATACTGGCTAATATTACAGCCATAGTTTAGTTAACCACTAGCGTTTATTTACACATTGGCTAATATTACAGTTATAGTTTAGTTACCCCCTAGCATTTATTTACACACTGGTTAATATTACAGTGGTAGTTTAGTTACCCAATAGCATTTATTTACACATTAGCTAATATTACAGTGATAGTTACACTCTAGCATTTATTTACACATTGGCTAACATCACAGTGATAGTTCACTCTCGCATTTATTTACACATTAGCTAATATTACAGTGATAGTTACACTCTAGCATTTATTTACACATTAGCTAATATTACATTCTAGCATTTATTTACACACTGGCTAACATCACAGTGATAGTTCACTCTAGCATTTATTTACGCACTGGCTAACATTAAGCCTACATAGCGATAGCCTGCGGCACACAAGAAAATACATAAACATTAATAATTACAGACTAGTCAACATATAACCACATAATTATCAAATAATTAATTTTAAATGATTGAAAAGAAACAGAATTTACACAGTCCGAACCTTGTCGACACATCTGAATAATACTGAAGAACACTGACTTACACACCGACAAGGTTAATGAACAATAGTTCGAAAGAAATAAATGGGAAAGAATGTTACCTTTTCAAAGAAATAAAGAGTTATCGGGAATTCCCATGATGAAATACCTGACGCGTTACACAAGAAAAAATTGCACATGCTGTGTTCTGTATACATTTCCTCATACGTGGGGTAGGCAGTAATGTAGGCCTAGTAAATGTATGTAAGGCAGTGTATTAGACCTAGTTACTATATGTAAGTAACTGTAGTAGGCCTATGAAAGCTAGTGTAGTAGGTCTAGTTACTTTAAGTATGCCAGCGTAGTAGACCTAGTTACTGCATGTAAGCTATTTCTTGTAGGCCTAGTTAAAGTATGTAAGCACATGCAGTAGGCCTAGTTACAGAATGTATACTAGTATAGAAGTCCTAATTACTGTATGTAAGCCGGTTGTAGTAGTACTAACTACTTATGTAGGCCAGTGTAGTAGGCCTAATTACTCTATGTAAGCCGTGTAGTAGGCCTAGTTACTGTATGTAAGCTAGTGTGGAAGGCCTAGCTACTGTATGTAAGGCCATTGTTGGAGGCCCTTTCCCCTCCCCTTAATCAGCTACTGGGTAGGCCTATATATTTTTTTTCGATGACTAATAAAATATTTTGACTATTTCTTTATTGAAATATACAATAAGACTATAGTAAATCATTTAATGATATTATTTTTACAATTCGTTTAGATTACAATGCAATAGGCTGCATTTTATTGCATTGTTGTCAAGTAAGTACAATGGGCAGATCTGTACTAAAATTATAAATATTTTTTAGCTACAGCAGTTTTTACAATCTCATCCCATTGCATCTTTACAAGTCAAAATAACTATCAAGTCTAGAAGAAACTCTTGAAGCGATAATGTCTGATGATATTGATAATGAGGAGTAGGGCCTACGATGTTCTTTTTAGAGGTTACTGTATGTAGCTTTTACTGTATGTTTGTTTAAAGCGTCTGTGCTAAATGTATGTGATTCTCTGTGTTTTATTTAGTGCATGGAATTACTTTCTTATGTTTAACAATTATGGGTAGATGAGCAAATGAGAGGTCAGCTATGACAAAATGTCATTCACTCATAATAAACTTTAATATTACTATACATTGCTGTTATTTTTTTAATTTCACCAACACATATTAGATAAAAATGGTATACATGGAAAGATAAACTAAAGACAACCGATTAAATACAAAAAGATGATGAATACTACAGCGCAGAAATGTACAAATATTTATAAAACATAAGTCATAATGCAGACTGCTAAAGGAAATGTAGGCCTATATTGCTGAGTTATTATTTTAGTGTAGGTGATACCTTAGACTGAGATGACAACCTACACAAATGTTCTTCTTCCGTAATACACTATCGTCTGTTGTATGTATTTGATTCCATTTTTTTAATTAAAAATAGTGTACAGATATAATTGTCTCCACGGCCCGAAATACAACGACATTGGATTAAGTGTGTCAGCACATCGTCGGTGTTGTTCATTGCTGGCATGGAGTCTTGTACAGGTGGAACCTTCCTGTAAAAGCCTAGACTGGTGGAATTTTCCTGTACCATTTTGGACTAGTATACCTTATGTACCTTTCTTATTATACTTTGGGCAAGATATAAATCACTGCCTTCTAAAATCTGTGAGAATAAATAATGGACAAACCACCTGCGGTCTAGGTCTTACCGCAGACAAACTACCTATTGTTCAACGGTCTATGGTCAAACCACTTGTGGTCAAAACACCGCTTACAATGCAGAAGTGATCATATCAATTACATACAAGTGTTAAAAGCAACACCATACTAATAAGACTAAACCTTATAATTTTTCATTACGTTTATTTTGACTATAATGTACTACTATTGTTTAGAAAAAAAGAAAGAAACCACCTATAAACAGAGCAGCCCCAATAAGAAATTCTAAAAATGATGGGCCAGAAGCTGTGACTGCCGTTTCTCTGGACAATTCTCTGTTTCTGTTTTCTGCACTTCTTCTAGCTTCTTCTTCTTGTCTACGTTTTCTTTCTAACTCACGTTGTACAGATTCAGCCAGAGGTTGTAATTGGTGAGCTATAGGTTTCAGAGTTGGGTACAGCCTGATTTTTGTGTTGGCATAATTAATCAGAACGTGCACTTTATGCTGAACATCTTCTAACAATTCTATTGTTTTATCACCTTTGTAAAGCTGTTTAATGTCATTAAGGTCTGCTGTAACTTTTCTTCTGATTTTAATTCTTTCTTTAGCTTGATCAAAGTCTTTTTGGTTATAATGGCCTTTAATTTTTTTCACCATTTCAATTAGTTTCTCTATTTGATCATTCTGATCTATATCGGTCAGTTTATTGTTGATTAAAACAACTCTCCCACCACTTTCATCAATCAGATCTTTGAATCCACCTTTCTGTTTGTTATACCAGTCTTGAAAATCTTTTGTTTTAGTTTCTTCGGGGCTGTATTGGTCTCCCCTTGTTACACCAATAATAGACATTTTTTTAATAACATCCTCTCCAAAAGTTTCCTTAAAGTTTTCTATAACTTTTTTATCTTCGTCAGTAAATCTAACACCATAGGGTACAACGAATAAAAACGCATCGAATCCTGTCGGACTTTCATTGATGGATTGAAGGAGAATATCAGCCAAAGTTTCATTATCCATTTCAGTATCCATAAATCCTGGAGTATCCACAACTGTTATTTTCGTTCCTTGGTACGCTGAGAAACTACTTTCACTAGTTTTTGTGACAGATGTGCAACTTGCTCCAGTTTTAAAAACTTTTTTTCTAAGTATTGTATTCCCTGTTGTACTCTTACCACTACCTGTTTTACCAACCAGCAGTAGACTGATAGGTTGCTTTGGTGGTTGTAAGCAAACCAGTAGAATTGCAATCACTAGAACAGTCACTGGGAATAAATCTGTGAATGTATTTTTTTAAATATGTCAAATATATTATTTCCATTGATTGTCTACAAGTTTTCTTTAATTTCTAAGACTCAACTTATAGGCGTTATAGGAGACATACATTTTCTACGTGTCCTTACCTATAAGTATTAACAAACAAATTTTCAAATTTTGAAAAACGTTTACTATACTGTCTACTCTTGGATTTAGTCCTGAAAATTACAGAGATCTCAGTTTTGTAAATGAAAAAAATACATTAATTGCAATAACTGGTATGTAGGCCCACACAATACCTAATATTTACAGTTACTTACACGCTAAACATGTACAGTCACTTACACACTAGTTAATAATTAAATAGTGCTAGCAAGGCATTGTATAATATTTTACAATAATATCTGATCACAAGCTAATATGTACAGTGTACGTTACACACTTGTTTACAACTGGCTTATATTGTATTGCAAACATTTTATAAAATTTACAGTGAGATTTGAACAAAAGCTGAGGTTTACAGTAATATTTACACACTAGCATTTTTTACACTGGTTTATTTTAGCCTACACAGAGATAGCCTAGCAGGGGTCTCCAAACTTTTCAGACCGAGGGCCGCATTGACTATCACATATTAATTCTAGGGCTAGAGTTTCTTCAAGGCATATATTCGGTGTTATGGAGCCCCACCCCCCCCCAAAAAAAAAACCGCTACCGCCCCCCCCCCCCAACTAAATATAATTTATATAAAAACTTCAAGTGCCCCCCCCCCTAGAAAAAAATCTGAAAGAAACACTGTCGGGCGCTGCACTCGAGGTCCTAGTTTGTTCTCAAATTATTCTTCACGTATTCTATATCAATGGTTGAGCTCATGTGACCTTATTACATTCGCAATCTTCACTACAGGATTCAGTACACTGCTAATGTTCATATATCTAGCACTCAAAGATTGCTGATGAATAATGAAGTGCAGGAGCATTTGTTGTAGAATATTTTTCTCATTCGCTTGTCCAACCAAGCCTTTCTTTATGCCACTCATGTACTTTTCCCCATCAACAGTCAGGTAACTGAGGTTAGTCCAGTCCAAGTTATAATTAGCAAATGTTTTTAAACTCATTGAATATATCCTCTCAAGTAACAGTGCCATACATGTTGTGTACGGAAGCCAGCTCTTGTGTTATGTTCATGTCTTCATCCACACCCCAAATGAACACAAGGAGTTGAGGGGTGAACAGCTGTCAAGCGACTTATCCATTGCAATTAAAAAATAGTGAAACGTGCTTGCATTTTTCGCTATTTGAGTCACAATGTTTTCACCACTGCAACACGGTGGGCAAAGCTATTTGCATCCAAAGCTACATTTTCAAATTGTTTTAAATTTTCTGGGCCAAGTTCCTCAGCCACCTTTAACAGACATCTTTCCGCGGACAAAAAGATCTCCGCGGGCCGACTGAGAGGACCTTGCGGGCCGCATTCGGCCCGCGGGCCATAGTTTGGAGACCTCTTCCTTATTTGATTGAATAAACAACTTAATGTAAATGCACTGTTTACCTGTTTGTTGCTTGCCTGTTGGAACAGTTTCCTCCCTTATTTGACAGGGTCCCAAATTTCTGCCTATTATCAACATTTTCGAACGATGTAAGATGGCTGTAATTATCAGAACTACAATAGTTGTAAGCACAACTCCAACTCCAATACCAATACCTATGCATTCAGCTCTTCCGTCACAACAATTGAGTTCTATATGACAATTTATATATACAATATATATATATATATATATATATATATATATATATATATATATATATATATATATATATATATATATATATATATATATATATAGTAGATATAATATTATATGTAATAATTATCCAAAATATTGAATGTATCGTGAACGTGAGATTGTAAAGTGTACCATATACCAGATTGACAAAGTTCGCCCGTGTAACATGGATTACACCTGGTACAAAACCCAGTGGTACTGTCACATATTGATTCTAAGCAGGTCAAAGGGCAGCTCGACACACACCCAACGCCATAGTGGTGGACGTCACATGCTGAAATATAAAGAACCATGAGATCAACATTAAAGTAATAAACATTGGACAATTTTCTCTTTTAAACCTAGGCGTAACATTAATAGTAATTTCTAACCACCCCATGCGGATCATCTCAACGACAGAATCGTTGAGCCTCTCTCCGACTGTGTCGCTGAGAATAAAACCCTTTGGTGGTTTCTCAGTCAACACTGTCGTTGAAAATAAAACAATAATTAAACATGCTCTCCACAATTAGGAAAGCATAAACTGTAGGTGTTTTGAAGCTAATATTCCAGCCATTTTGTTTTGACGAGAGCTAGTCCAGATCTAGACTAGATCTACTTGATCAACGATTTACACTGATGTAAAACCTACGTAAATCAAATCTACAAGATCAGGATTTACATTTAGATCTAGAAATCTACATTATTGACTAGAGAGAGAAAGTTAAAAGTATGCCTAGTGCGTCGAAAGTAAATGATAGAATCTAGATCTAGAAAATCTAGATCTAGTAATTTTTCAGTAGCACTAGTCTAGATTCAGATTGACTAGATAGAAAGATAATTAATAATTATTAATTATTTCTGTGGCATAGCTGTCCTTTAGGATCTACTCAATTTTAAATCTCTTCTAGATCTAGATCTATTTCAAATTGTTTGTAGATCTATATCTACAAGCTTAGGCTTAGGTCTAAAAATATACTAAAGCTACACAAGTAGGCCTTCACATCATTCCTAAACGTAATGCCATTAATGGCTAAAATTCACTGAGCATTGTTGCACTTAAGACTTAAACGTAAGGCCTAAATACTAAATAAAATTATTACGTTAGCTTAATTTTCGTGACAGCTTTTCTCTTCTTTTTTGCCATGCTTAATTTAAGTCACTTTCATGTGCTGGTAGCTTAAAATAAAACTTGTTTAGGAAGTTTATTTCTTTCTCCCTTTCATAATGCTGCAAATATGAGTAAGACGCTTATTATTATAATTAAATAGCTGCGATAAATAATCATTTGCATCTTTTTGGGGGTATTTCTTTTACATGAACTGTGAAATACGGTATCTCAAATTTTGCGCGTAACTCAAAGCGAAATATTACTCGCACAACTGCTCGTATTTAAAAAATCTGGTATGTCGAGGCACTAGAATGTTGAGGTACCACAGGATCTACTATGTATTGAAAGAAAACATAAATTAATTATAGAATAATAGGCAAATATAGTAATAAAGTAGGCCTATAGCTTTAGATTTTATTCAGCCTACTAGATAAATAATTAAATAGGCCTAAAGTAGTACTAGATATTAGTTAAATCACTAGTATTGTGTAGGGTTATTTTTATTAAAAAAACAGATCACATCTTATACATTATACATTAAGGCGGGCTCAATAAAATAAAAATTATTTATTTAGGACCTAGGCCTATCTTTTGGAGATCTAAAATTCTAAATGAAAAATAAATTATTAATTAGACCAACAATAGGCATAGTATGCTAAATCTATTTTAGTATTTAAATTTAAGGCTCGGCCATCTACTAAAAATTTTATAAATGTCATAAAATGGCCTACTTAATTATAATTACTAATTACTATTAGGCCTAAGTTTAAACTAGAGATAGCCTATTTTATTAGTAGAAAAAGTATTAGCCATAGTTAAGATGGTATAGTCTTATGTAAATTAATGTAATCAGTGTTAGATATTATGATATCGATCAAGCATTTATTATATAATATCGGAAAGGGGCCTAGCACTCTCTTAGTCATTAGTCTATTAGGTCTTACAAGGAGTTTAGCCTATTTATATATATTATATAGGCTGTTATTTAAATTAGGCCAAAGGCTTATTAGGAAAAGGCTTAATAGGCTTTAGTTTTTAATTAGGCAACAAGGCAGAGGCTTAATGTTGCTTATAGATTTAATTTGAAATTATTATGATATACGCTACTCTGCGACTATCACTATAGACTGCTATAGAGTATATTATAGCCTAGGCCTATCTAAATAAAATAATTCAACTCACTTAGCTTACTATAATTTTTAAAAATGTTTAGTTAAGTATTCAGCTCTCTATGTCCGCTAAGGCCCATAATTGTAATTATCCTACTGTTAGATCTATTAATTATTTAATAATTAGTAGGCCTAATTATAGGAATTAGGTCTGATACATTAAGTCCTATACATTGGTCGTAGAGTAATACTATTGGGCTAGTAATTATATACAATATCTATACAAGCCTACTTATCGCTAATTTGGAAGTCTTTGCATTGACCTTAGTTTTCAGATTTAGCAGCCTAATTTTTATCAGATTATACCATAAAATCAAAAGTAGACTTGTAGATCTTTTTAAAACAAGGCATGAAATATTAATTTAAATAATATAAATTAAACAAATAGCCTAAATAACAACTACACAAAGTTAAAGTCATAATAACTTTTTATAAAGGTATCTTGAATTTCAACTGGAGGTAGTTTTGATAAATATTAGTATTCTGAACATTAAAATAGGTAGACTTAACATAAATTTGTTCTGAAAACATATTTAGAAATTGGTTTTAAAAAATGAGGTTAGGATTGGGGTGATAACTAGTTGAGGATTAGATATGATATTCATTGTGTTTATCCATGTTGTAATTTCTCTTTTACAGGTTCATCCAAAAAAAAGGGAAGATCTGATTTTTACCAGTAATAAGACTACAGCATACTAAATGACACAAGATGTTCTTTCTCTATTACCTCTTACATTTGACATAAAAGTAGGAAAAGGTATGACAATTATTAATAAGCTGCTTTAAATTTTATAATTTGTTTTTTTATAACTTAATTGTACCACTTTTATTTCCAATGATGATAAATATAATTTAGTGTCATTTATTTTTTAAATATTTATATTATACTTATACTAGATATAATTTACTTCTATAATATTACTATCCAGGTTTAACAGTCTATGCCTACAACATGGATCTCCAGGACTGAAAGTGCACAAAATGGCAATCAGTATATCACAAGTGTTATAACACATGCATCTAATCTGCTTCAGTGGCGAGAACTGGGTGAATCCTCTCAAACATTAATCAGGTAAGTTATCACAAGTTTGCTTTGGTTTATTTTGAACATGTTGATTGAGATAGATTTTTATTTGTATAAATATTGTATTTAAAAAATATTTTACCTAGTAAAACCAAGTCAGTGGTGATGATTGATACAATATCATTATGTATTTTTTTAAATATTTGTTTTGCAAAATATGCTGATTTGCAGGAAGGATATATATATATATATATATATATATATATATATATATATATATATATATATATATATAAAACAGTATCTTTTATTGGTTTGTCTTACAAATTTGAATTATTTACTTAATCTGTCTTAACTGCTCAACAGGAACTAGGCATACCTAATGAGCGTCAAGCTGATACAGTAGATGTACATAAGAATTTTTACACAAGGTAAATATTGATACATTTTAAGTTTTCTTTTTTTAAGGATACATGTAGTGTTTTGGGAGAAAGGAATTAAATTATTTAAATTAGGCCTAATAGTTTATTTCTCTAGCTTATGTTTCACTTAAAATAACTTAAATGTTTCCCCCTTTATCACTAAAGCAAAATTTTATAGATATCTATGCCATGATTCATCTCATTCAATCACTTTTTTCTTGTTTTGTTTTGATGTATTAAACTAATTTAAACTAAAGATTTTTTTTTTTTGCTAATTTTATTATTTCAGATGGATGATTAAGAAAATCATTTTGTTTTGTTTCAGGAAGTGAAAAGTGATGTAAAAGGCAACTAATACTTCCATCTACCATAGTTAAACAAGAATCTGCAAATGGTGATAATTGCAATAATCTTGATATATTAATGTTTGGCTTTTTAATTATATGCAATTGTCAGGTTTGATAAATAAATTATTTCTCAAAATTTGATGTATTTGGTTTTCATACTTTGTACATAAGATGCAAGTGATTGAAAGCTGAAAAGGGTTGTATGTAGTTATAGTATTCCCAGCACAAGTTGACATTAAAACAGCTGAAGCCCTTTTAAAAAAAAAAAACAAAAAAAAAAAAATAATCTAGGAATGCTGTTTCTATTAGCTGAGCATATATTTGGAAAAGAACTTAATTGTTTACCAGAGAATACTGTGACCCAGTTTGTACTCCAGGCAAAAAGTGCCTATGGTTAATATTATTAAGTTAAAGAAAAGTATCAAACAAACAGGATAATATTAATAAGCAAGACCTCCACACTAGAGAAGTATGGAATGAGTGTTGCATGGAATTCAAATCAACTTTGATGTTGCTAATTGCTACACTGGCCATAATTGGCCTACATTGATTTTTGCTGAGGTAGGCAACTGTTTTTGTTTAACTTTAGATGTCGACTAAATAAAGAAGAAAACTGACACGCCAATACCAAAATCAAGAACTTGTAAAGTTCGTGGTTGCTAAACCGAGAAGTCCTGAGTTCAATCTCCCGTGTAGATGAGGCTCTATAGTTGGGGATAGCAACCTATCTTGGGGATACAACACTTGTTCTTGGATTGACAAAAGATAAGAAAAGAAATCCAGAAAGAAAAGCAGCTGAACGAAGAAGAAAAAGGCTGGATATATTCGGTATCAACTGTACAATTTTAACAGACACACATTTCAAACTACACATGCATTTCAATGACAAAGTTCAGTGAAGCCATAATGTTGAGTTTGAATGAATGAAGAACGATATTGTTATTTCAAGCAAAGTTAAGGTTTATTGTCTTAAAGACATTGTCGTGGATTGATTTAGACTAAGACTTCCCTGTTAAATAAGCCGACAACGATGGCTCTTATTATTTCTCGTCTTTGATGTTGCTTTCAAGAACTTGTATGAGATTAGATTACTTACATACATAAGGCTACAAAGTTTGGAATTTTGGCTTTCTAATAGTGGACCTGGCTACATGACATTACCCCCACCCCGTCAATTACCCCCCCCCCCCGGAGGAGACCCCCCCTCCCGTATTTACCCCCG